TGGCTTTACAGATTCATTTAACCATCTTTTTTCAAAGTGAAAACTCAGGTACCATTTCCATTTGGCAGAAAGATCTGGGAGCCCACATACAGCCCCCTCTTGGTTGCAGCTGCAAGAGTTGAGTAAACAAGGCAGTTTACTCCCACTCCTCCCATTGTTTTCCACTCTTTTCTTACTGACCTGACCACAACGCATGTCTGCTAGTCATATTTGTTCCCATTCTCGGGTTTTCAAAAAGTTTTCTTCTTCCTCAGGGGCCCCACTTTGATTCCAATCCTGTTAGCATTCCCCACTTGAGCTTGCGATTAGAGGGAAGATTTATTGCCACTTGGAAAATATTCTCACAGGGCAGTTTTTACATTAAAAAGTCATGAAAATGTAAGCATGAGAGCGTGCAGCCAATAGTTTAGAAAAAGGTAGTGTATCTTGGGAAAGACCGGCTTGAAGGATACACATTTGCAGGACTCGCTTTAAAATGCAGAAAGACTCCATTTTGCTGGAGCGTTCCTTGGGGGAGGATTCCAGAACGGAGGTTTTGCTGTGCAAGATGCATTATTTCAGGCTCTTTTAAAGCAGCCCGTATTTTAGAGGCGGTAACTTCCTGTTGATTGCCGTAGTCCTAAATTTCCTTTTTATCAGACTTTAGAGAGGAGGCATATTATTAAATACAGCAGTAGCCTATCTCTCAGACGTACCTCTCCTGCCTTTTCTGTTATCATTCTTAAATCCTACTTAACTGGTGTTTGCTGAGAGTAGACTTTCCTGGTTCAGCAATGGCCTGTTCCACAGCAGATCTTCTCCTCCCTTCGCTCCTGCAGTGCAAGCCTTGTGGGAATTTATATCCTCCCACTGTCACTGCTAAGGAATGCAACCTTTTGTCCTCCGACTAGCTCGTTTGATGACATCTGAGAAAATCCTGCAAATACCCCGGGCTCTGCTGGAATGGGAAGCCATGCAGCTTATCTTTCCATAACATTTTACTTGTGAAAGAAAATGACTGGGGAAACATGTTGAGGGGGAATGCTGGGAGAGCAGGATGTGTTTTTTTTCTCCCAACTGCACAGTAACCTTTCCTTGCCAATACACATGTGGTTAAACTTCAGAGCTAGAACCTGGAAGAAACCACAGGAGGAGAAAACAAGGGAGAGAAGACGACAAGCCCAGTAAGGCATACAAAAGTCCGAGGCATGTATATGGCAGCCTGTCACAGAGTATTCCTTCTGCCTTCAGGCTGCTTAAAATACAAGCCAAGTGACTGTGGAACAGACTTTATTACTAAGGAATGCATGCATTTCCTAAGTTCAAGAACCATCAGGATTAGTTATCAGGCAAAGAAATTTGCATCTGAGATTTTCCCTCCAAAACGTATTGCAAGTCAAGCCATAAAACTTGCACCCAGTTATTTCTCTCAAGTGGCTGGGAAACAGGAACTATATTTTTTCCCTTAGTGTCACAATCTTCTTGTCACTTATTTGGTATCTGAAGATCTGGGCAGTTCATTGCTGTTGAGGGCTCAAGCTGGTAAGTAACTATTTCCTTTTTCACATAATCTTATTAGAGTTACTGCCTAGAATAAACCAAATCAGAATGAAGAAATATTTCACTCCTACACAGATATCTACACCGAGGTCCTTCAAGGACAGGCCATGGAGACCCACCCACAAGACTGCACCTAAATGAAACCATCTGGCCTTGAGAATGAACCACGTTTCTAGATTAATCTACTACTCTCATTATACATTTGGCTCCAATAATCCTCACACACCTTTATGGTAATACAGTACTTCCAAACTCCATTCTTGAACTTAGCCTGACAAATACAAAGAACAAAGGAAAAACAAACCAGATCAAAGCCAATCAACCATGCTGAAAAGTAATTTGTTTTGCTCTTTCATATAAATGAATTCCAAAATTGGCTAAAATGCGCATTGCTTTTATTTTCTAACATGGGTTTCCGAATACAATTACAGCCCTCCCAAATAATTTGAAATAACCCACATTAAAATTATCAGGTCTTATTTCCAAGCAAACACATGAAGGAAGCTGCATCAGGAATTCAGTAGGAAGCGTGCACTTTAAAAAAAGGATGCATAAGGACAACCAGGATTCTGTGTTTTGTTCCTTTTTTTAATACAGAGATTCACTCTAAGTGGGATTTAAAAAGAAAAAAAAACTGGCAAATTTCCCACTGCCCTATCAGAGGCAACCCATTCAAGATGCATGCAATGGAGAGATTGGCAATACTGTTCTGCTTCATTACGCATGGATGGCGCTCCATTAATCTTTGTGCCATTTACCCAGGAATATTAAAGCTCTGTGCATATCATCTCTCTGTCTCAAGTGGGTGATAGTGGCCACTTTTATTTTTTTGAATACCAACTGAAATAATTGCCACAAGGCAACCAAAGTATGAAAGAATGGGACAAAATCGTGGAGTACTGACATACTAGGTGTCTTTACAGAACTTGCATCAAGAATAAAATTGTGTGGAAAGAAGGCTTTCACTCAGGCTGAAAAGGCTTTCTATCAGATCTCACTGGCTGTTGAACTAACTAGGCCATAGTGGCTCAATGGGACCTACAGCAACTTCTTTTATCTAGGGTTACAGGTTTGAAGACAGACAATGCAACCAGCTTGCTAAAGGTAAGCAAGTTTTTTATCTATCTCTGGACAATTCACCACCTAGAATTCCACTTACATAGATAAGTACAGACATATATCATGTGAAAAGGCAGAACAACAATCTATAATTCAAATGAAATTACTCGTCAAAACAAAAAAAGCAGAAGAGTTCAATAGTTTTGTTATTATTGCTGCTAGAGCCAGCATAATTAGTTATACTGTGTGACTCAAGGTGGTTCTCAAGTATCATCTGCAAAAACAGCCAAAATTTTTGTTATGCATCCAACTGCCGTTTCACTGCTGCCCTGAGATAATCGCTGCCTCAAAGAATGATTCAAATAAGTTTGTGAAATCGTCCCAATCCCACAGTACTTCTTTAAAAAATGGACAAGTTTCCTCTAGAGATGTACCCTTGGACAGCATTCAGGAGGCAACTAAAAATACCTAAGACACTTTTGCTCTACTTTGTGCAGTTTCATGTATAAAAAAGGGAAAATAATCAAAATCAAATGATATAAAAATCATTTGAGCATATCTCAGACATACGCGCATTGTATCTCATTGAGCAAAACGCTTAATTGCAAGCATATGTACTTTAATGCAGCTGCTCCTTTGAAGTCAAAACTGGTTAGTACTACTGTCACATGTCATGTAGCCCATCTTAATCTATGCAACTCATTTACAATGGTGTTATGTACCTGGAGCACAGAATACATGGACATGGTATCCCTCGCAGCCAAGGCATGACAGGAACTGCAAATAAAACCTAACACTGACAGTCCTAATAAAGGTTTCACATGCCTTGCTAATCTATCTAGTAGCCTAGAACCCGTAAACAGCACCACTGCCATTCACTCCTTGATCCTCCCCCCTTTGCTGCTTCAAATCTTGTTTGCTGTTAAAAGAATAATTGATGATTACTTAAGTCACCCAGAATTTCCTTCATCTTAGGTAACTTTAAAAACAATGTACTGGCATAATCTGTGCAAAAATGCATGACTTCCAGGAACAAATACAAAATGTGAGAGATAACACACTTCTAAACTCACATTTCCCCTGGATGTTGAATCCCATCTACAAATGCCCCGAAGGAAGTTAGGTAGATAAGCATTCACAGAATAGCCTGCTGCAAGAAAGGCATTTCATTCCATTAATGCAAAAGCAAAACAAAACAGCCAACATCACTTAAGATGTTTCAGTTTGCCAGAAATTCTTTTAATGACAGAATTTTAAAAAGACCAAAACATCTTATTTCAACTGTCTCCTTTAAACAAATTGCCTGCATTTATAGTTACAAATACTGTAAACTATGCCTTCTTGTATTGCACAACTAATTAATACAAGAATGACCTCAAAATGTCTCAAGATCTTTCAATTCATTTGAAAATGGGCCTGAATTTCCCACTAATTTAAAATAAATTAGAACATTATTGAACAAATTATTCAAAATTAAGTTTGAAATCAAAATAAAATGGCATCTACAATCTAAAAGAAGCCTTTTTTGGAATTTGTTTAATGGTGTCTCTATTCTTCAAGTCATATGCATAACTGTACCATCCTCAGTGGCAGAAAAGCACCCCAAAAATATTGCTAATATATGGAAGTCTACCCTTTACCATAAGCAATTTTGCTGCATATCAGAAGATGACACCAGTAATTTATTTCAAAAGGTCCCCTTCCAAAAAAAGGAAAAAGAAAAAAACCTGAAGCACAGGAAAGAAAAGTCATTTATTTAATGAAAAACTAGAAGTTAATAAAAATTAGCAAATACACAGAAAATTTATACAAGAACAGCAGCAATACTATGTAGTGACTTGGGAAGAAAAGAAGCAAGGGAGAAGGAAGAGGAAGAGGGGAGAAATGGCGGTCAAACCCCAGACCACCTTGCATGGCTTGTCAGTCAAAAGAAACACAAATGAAACACAAAACAGTATCCTTTTCAAAAGTACAATTAATCTACAAAGAAGTTTAGAATTATTTTACAGCACTTTTCATAGAATCAATTCTTAATACAAAAGGATGCCCATTTTGGGTATATATATAATATAATATAATAT